TGACCTGGTGTTCATTTCAGTGAGTAAGCTCTCCCAGCTGCTGGGCGCACCCCTCGAGGAGGTCACTCCCGACCCCCAGCCCGGAGCTGCTCGGGGGGCCCCAGGTGGGGCTTCCACCCCGGGGGGCGGCTCAGCCCCCCAGAAGGAGACATCACAACCCTCCCCCTCCAAGCAGGCCGCCAGCAAAAAGAAGGCGGCCGGACAGAAGAGGGGCAGAGGGGACGAGCCCTCTCAGGCTGGGCAGAAGAGGCTCGCCCTGGTCTCCGCACAGCCTCCTCCTCTTGCGCGGGTCTCCGGGGGACCAGTCCACCTGGGCGTGGGCTCTGCCGAGGAGCAGGTCCAGGAGTCGACTCCCCCGAGCTTGTGGCACTACCGCCACATAGCTCTCCTGAAGCCAGGCCAAGCCCCCATCATGCACGACCCCCGCCACTTCTGCCCGCCCTGGGGGCTGTCCATCAATGACCGGGCCCAGTTTCCTGAGGCGGCTCGGGAGCTGGTGGTGGGCTCAGTCCTTCCGCGGGACAAGAGGTGGATGGAGCTCGCCGCCCCAGCTGAGCTCCAAGACATGTACTTCATCGCCCAGGCCCAAGTAAGTTCTCGAGCTCAGGGGTTAGTTTCGTACTCGTCTTAGTTGGGAATAGCGTCGTGCTGACCTGTTTTTTCCCTGCCGCAGGCCAACGCCGCCGGTGCTGCCCTGGCAACCCGCTTCTCCGAGCTGTCTCCCGATTTGGAGAAGCTGCGGAAGAAGAACCAAGAGACGGAGAAGAGGCTCTCCCAGGCCCTGAAGGAGGCGGACTCCCTTAAGGCCAAGTTGGGAAAGGCCGAGAAGGAGCTGGACACGGCTCAGGTCCAGCTCGCCTCCACCAGGTCGGAGCTCGACCAGGAGAAGGCTGGTGTGGCCAAGCTGAAGGAGGAGCATGCCCTCGAGCTTTCTGGCACCATCAGCCGGGAGCGGAAGAAGGCTGTTCGGGAGTTCATCTCCTCCGATCATTTCGAGGTGGACATCGCCCTCCTCAACCAGCCCATCCTCCAGGTTGGCTCTACGCGGGCCCTGACCCAGGTGCAGGGCCTCAACCTCCCCGGCTTCAACGTGGCAGACTTCAAGGACTACGATCCTACGGCCGAGGATAGGCTGGACTGACTCTTTGATGGGTACCGGAAGGGGCATGCCCTGGAGAGCCTGGTCCGCCGAACCGACGTAGGAGCAGAGCTGGAGGAGGTTCCCCTGGAGGAGGACGGGTCTCCTGGCAGAGCTGCCGGGAAAGAGCCGGTGGCCTAGGGCGGTGGCCACCCCAGAAACCCTTTCTGTCTTCTTGTATGGATGTGACCATGCTCCAGTTGAAAATGCTCTTGGAGGTCCATCCAGGACGGAAGGGGTTTCCTGCTTCCGGGCTCCTAAATAGCCTTCACCATACGCCTCTCAACATGCTTAACGTGTACTTTCAACTTTCACCCCGGTTGGGCCACCAGTAGGTAGAACAGACATCGAAGGAGATTACCAGCTCGGAAATTTTGCGGTAGAGGGGCAGGGCGCTTTGTAATAGATAGGCAGCTCGGAAGTTTTGTAATAGATAGGTTTGCAATGTATACAAAATTTCGAAGAGTTATTTTCTTCTTTCCTTGCCCACTCGCAATGCTATGTGCCGACCTCCGGGGTCGAACACCTCACCCCTCACCCCTTGGGGCTGAGTGCTTTAAATATTAAGCGCGTCCTTGCCGACCTCCTAGGTCGAACAATTCGCACTTCCGACCGAGTACTTTAAGCATTAAGTGCGTTCTTGCCGACCTCCTGGGCCGAACACTTCACACTCCATTAAGCGCGTTCGTGCCGACCTCCTGGGTCGAACACTTCACACTTCAGAATATTTTAAGCATTAAGTGCGTTCTTGCCGACCTCCTGGGTCGAACACTTCACACTTCATTAAGCGCGTTCGTGCCGACCTCCTGGGTCGAACACTTCACACTTCATTAAGCGTTTCCTGGGTCGAACAATTCACACTTCATTAAGCGCGTTCGTGCCGACCTCCTGGGTCGAACACTTCACACTTCAGAATATTTTAAGCATTAAGTGCGTTCTTGCCGACCTCCTGGGTCGAACACTTCACACTTCATTAAGCGCGTTCGTGCCGACCTCCTGGGTCGAACACTTCACACTTCATTAAGTGCGTTCGTGCCGACCTCCTGGGTCGAACACTTCGCACTTCACCCACTACCCCTAGCCCCCCACTAGGACGTTGAGCGAGGGAATGCTGAATGTGCTAGTGTAAGGTGCAGGTTTGAAAATTGTAAAAATGAAACAAGTACAAGTGAAAATTAAAACGAGCTGTGATTGAATGAGAAAACAAAAATTCGGATTCCAGAGAACAGGCCACTGAACACCCTGGTTTAACCTACGCTACAAACAACCGCAAATTGGAGAAGTGCCAAGTCCGAGGTACTTCAGATCCATCCATCTTGGCGAGCTTGCAATAGCCAGCTCGGCTCGCCTCAAGGACCTTGTAGGGGCCCTCCCAATTTGGGTCGAGCTTGTTGGAGCCGTGTACTCGGCTTATCGAGTTCTTCCTCAGGACGAGGTCTCCTGGCTGGTACTGCATAGTCCTCACTTTGGCGTTGTGATAGCGCGCGAGTTGGCTTTTGTACTTAGCCATCCGAACAGCCGCTTCCTCCCGCCTGGCTTCGAGCAAGTCCAAGTTGCACCTGAGCTCCTCCTCGTTGGAGGTTGCCACGTAGTTCTGCGTTCTGGGTGAAGGAAGGCCGACCTCCGCGGGCACCACGGCCTCTACTCCATAAGTTAGGGAGAACGGGGTCTCTTGGGTTGCCGCCCGGGGCGTAGTGCGGTAGGCCCAGAGGACACTTGGGAGCTCATCCAGCCATCTCGATTGGGCGGACTCCAGTCTAGTCTTCAACCCTTGCAGGACAGTTCGGTTGGCGTTCTCCACCTGGCCATTGGCCTGGGGGTGACCAACCGACGTGAAGTGTTGGTTGATTCCGAGCTCGGCGCACCAGCTGCGGAAAGGGTTCTCGGCGAACTGGCGGCCGTTGTCGGATATCAGGGCATGCGGAATCCCAAACCGGCAAACTATGCTCTTCCAAAAGAATTTTTGAATTGCCTTCCCCGAGATAGAGACCAGGGGCTCCGCTTCCACCCATTTTGTGAAGTAGTCTATGGCTACCACGAGGTGCTCATATCTTCCCGGGGCTCGGGGAAAGGGACCCAGGAGGTCTATCCCCCATTGAGCGAAGGGCCAAGGACTGTGGATGGGGACCATCTCCCGAGCTGGCTGATGGCGCAGCGAAGCGTGCACCTGGCAGGCTCGGCATTTCTGGACCAGATCTGCTGCGTCTCGGAAGACGGAGGGCCAATAGTAGCCCAAAAGGAGGCACTTCTTAGCCAGCACTCGGGACCCCACATGGGCCGCACATATTCCTTCATGGACTTCGCGCAGGACGTAATCACCTTCCTCGGGCGTCACGCACTTTAGCCAGGGGGACAAGTACGACCTCCTGTAGAGGGTTCCCCCGGCGTAGGCGTACTTGGCAGTTCGGAGCTGGATGCGTCGGGTCTCGGCTTTGTTTTCGGGGAGGTCACCCGAGTTGAGGAAGTCAACGAGGGGCGTCATCCAGGTGGCCGAGCTGTCTATAGCCAGGACCTGGACCTGATCGATACTTTTCTGCTTTAGCACCTCCACCAATACCTCTTTGCTCAGGTGGGCAAATGAGGAGGACGCCAACTTTGAGAGGGCGTCTGCTCGCTTGTTCTGGGACCTTGGCACCCGCTCGATTTCGAACGTTTCGAACAAGGCCACGGCCTCTCGTACTTTGGCCAGGTACTTCTTCATAACCTCGTCCTTGGCTTCGTACTCCCCAAGGACTTGAAGGACGACGAGCTGTGAGTCGCTCCTGACCTGGATCGCGGTTATTCCCATCTGGTGGGCTATCCGCAATCCTGTGAGCAGGGCCTCGTACTCGGCCTCGTTGTTGGACGCGGGGAAGTCCAATCGGAGGGCGTAGGTCAGTTCTTCCCCGGTAGGTGAAATGAGTAGCAGACCCGCCCCGCTTCCTTCCTTGCTGGAGGCCCCGTCCACGAACAACACCCAGGGCTCCTTCGGCAGCCGCTCCTCGTGTTGGGGGCTTAGCTCAGTTAGACTCAAGCTAGCCCCCTCAGCAAGGAAATCCGCTAAGGCCTGGGCCTTGATGGCTTTGCGGGGTTGATAGCCGATGTCGTGCTCGGATAGCTCGACAGCCCATTTGGTCATTCTGCCCGAGACCTCTGGCTTGGTGAGTATCTGACGCAAGGGTTGGTCAGTCAGGACTACAATGCCGTGAGCCTGAAAGTAAGGGCGGAGCTTGCGTGCCGCATGTACCAAGGCAAGGACCAACTTCTCGGCTGGCGAGTATCGTGTCTCTGGCCCCTGTAGAGCTCGGCTTACGTAATACACCGACCTCTGAGCCCCCTCATCCTCCCGCACCAGGACCGCGCTGACGGCCTCGTTGCAGGCGGATAGGTATAGGAATAAGGTCTCCCCCGGCTCTGGGGCTGTCAGAGATGGTAGCTCGGCCAAGTAAGTTTTTAGGTCGATGAAGGCCTTCTGGCACTCCTCAGTCCAGTGGAAGTCCTTCGGCGCTTTCAGTACTCGGAAGAAGGGCAGCCCCCGGACCGCGGAGCGCGAGAGAAACCTATTCAGGGCGGCCATCCTTCCTGTTAGCCGTTGGACCTCCTTCACGCTCCTCGGAGGGGCCATGTCCATGATGGCCTGGAGTTTGTCCGGGTTGGCCCGGATTCCGTCTCGGGACACCAGGAAACCGAGAAACCTTCCCGATCTGACCCCAAAAGTGCACTTCGTCGGATTTAGGCGCATCCGGCTCTTCAGTAGGATGTCCAGGACCTCCCGCAGGTCGGGTATGAGGCGCTGGTCAGTTCGACTTTTGACGATCATGTCGTCCACATAAACTTCCATGCTCCTGCCGACCTGGTTTTGGAATAACTTGTTCACCAGGCGCTAGTAAGTTGCTCCCGCGTTCTTCAATCCGAAGGGCATGGTCCTGTAGCAGTAGGTTCCCTCCTCGGTGATGAAGGAGGTCTTGTCCCGGTCCTCCTCGGCCATCTCTATCTGGTGATATCCCTTAAAGGCATCCAGAAAGCATAAAACGTCAAAACCCACAGTAGAGTCTACTAACCTGTCAATTCGAGGCAGGGGAAAGCAGTCCTTTGGGCAGGCTTTGTTAAGGTCTGTGAAGTCTACACACATCCTCCAGGTCAGATCCTCCTTCTTGACCAGGACGGGGTTGGCCAGCCAGGTCGGGTAGTAGACCTCCAGGATGATCTTGGACTCCAACAACTTGCCGACCTCCGCCCTGATCACTTCATTTCTCTCGGGGGCGAAACTCCTTTTCTTTTGGTTTACTGGCTTGAAGTGAGGGTCCACGTCGAGGTGATGGACGGCCAGGTCCGTAGGGATCCCGGGCATGTCATCCACCGTCCATGCGAAGACCTGGGAGTACTCCCTCAATAAGGCCTTCAAGCCTTCCTTCTCGTTCGCTGGCAGCAATGCCCCAATGCGGATGACCTGGTCGGGACGTTCCTTCCTCAAGGGGAACTCCTCAATCTCATCCTGGGTGCCCAGCTGTTGGGCCTCATCCCCTGGGATGTAGGGCTCCAAACAGGTTGTCTGGGCGACCACCTTCTCCTGCCCCCGGAGAGTGGCCAGGTAGCAAGCCCTGGCTACCTCTGGGTCGCCGCGCACCTCGGCTATCCCCCCAGGGGTGGGGAACTTGACGCTGAGGTGAAAGGTAGAGGGAATAGCCCGGAGGGCGTTCAAGGCAGGTCTCCCCAAGAACACATTGTACGGGGACGACTGCTTGACCACCACGAAATTAACGGGAACGATCCGACACTTGGGAGCCTGACCTACTGTGACCATCAGGGTGATCATCCCTTCCGAGCTGATGGGTGGTCCGGTGAAACCCACCAAAGGCGTCCGGACCGGGGTCAGCTGGTCATCCCTTAACCCGAACTCCTTGAACACGCGATAGAACATGATGTCAACCGCGCTACCCTGGTCGACATACACCTTTTTCACCCGGTAGTTATTGGTGACAATGTCTATCACAATAGCTTCATGGTTCCCGGAAGCCAAGGGAACCGCATCCCTGGGTCCGAAGGTAATCTTCTCGTCCATGCGCAGACGCTTCAAGGAGTCGTCCCCTTCGGGGGTGGCCGCTTATTCTTCCGGGCTGCGTGACTGTCCCCCCCCGTGGGACCTCCCGCAATGGTGTTTATCACTCCCACCAGGTTCTGGGTATCCTGGTCGGGAGAGTGGTTCCGAGGAGCCTCCCGCCGCTCTGGACGGTCGCGACGCTGTCCCTCACGCCTATCCCCGTAATGGTTGCGCCCGAACTCCTGACCTGGTCGGCGTACGAACCGACCTAGAAAGCCACGTTGGATCAGGTCTTCAATCTCCTTACGCAGGGCCCAGCACCCCTCCGTGTCGTGTCCGACGTCACGGTGAAAGGCGCAATATTGGTCCTGGTTCCTTTTGTTCCGGGGCGTCCCCATCTTGGGCGGCCGATCTCCCAGCCCTTCCGCCTCCATGACGGCCAAGATCTGAGCTCTGGGCCGTGTTAGAGGGGTGTAGGTCTTCTCTGAGAGTGGTGGCAGAGCAGGGGTCTTCTCCTTCGAGAGCCGATCAAAGACATTTTTCTTGGCCGGGGCCTCCTTCACCTCCAGGGGGTTGGTCCGGCCTTTACGATCTCCGATCTCCCGATCTGACTCTTTCTTTAGGCGACCCGCCTCCTCCGCGTTGGCAGCCTCGTGAGCCCTGCGTAGGAGCTCTTCCAGGTTTACGGGAGGATTCTTGGCCAGATCGTAGAAAAGCTCCTCCACCCTGAGCCCGTTTGTGAAGGCGGCCATCACCACTTTTTCGTCCTTGTCCCTGACCTGCAAGCTCTCCGCGTTGAAGCGGGTCATGAAATTCCTCAGCGACTCGTCGGGCCTTTGCCTGATGGACATCAGGTGGGTTGCGTTCCTCGCGTAAACATTCGAGGAGACGAATTGGGCTGCAAACTGCCGGGCCAGCTCGGGAAAGCTCCGTATAGATCCCGGTTTCAGTCCCTGGAACCAGAGCCGCGCCTTCCCCTTTAGAAACATAGGGAAGGTCTTGCAGCGAACCTCATCCGCGGCGGTTTGCAGGCGCATATGCGTCAGGAATACCGAGAGGTGGTCTTCCGGGTCTGTAGAGGCATCGTACATCTCGATGCTCGGAATCTTGAACCTCCGGGGTAAGGGGTAGTCCTCTATCTCCCGGGTAAAGGGCGAGGTTACATAGTTGTTTTCGTATAGCCGGGGCCTCAAGATCTGCTCGAGTTCGTCCCGAGCAGGGTCCAGATGATCGCGGGGCCGGCTTTTGACAGACCGAGCAGGGGAATGCTCGAACCCATTCCGTGTGGGCTTCCTCGGAGAGGGGTCTCTGGGTTGGCTCCTTGCGGACCTGTCGCGGGAATATCTCTCGCTGTCCCCGACCACCGAGGCTCAGGGGCGGGGAGGAGTCCGGGGTCGCTTTCTCCTAGGGGGCTGGTCGCGCGACTCATCCTCCGAAGGATCAGGGGGTAACTCCTTCTCCTTTCCCTTGGCCTTGGAGGTCTGTGCACCCCCAGCCCCCTCTCCCTCCTTTGCCTGCCGAATTATATCCTCCAGCATGGGGAGATTCTCCGTCACGAACTGGAAGATCTGCTGCCTCCGTTCCCCTGAAAGGGCCGAGCCACCGACGCCCTGGGACGCCCCGGCCTCTTTCCGCTGGGACCCCTCACCGCCCCCAGGGCCGGTGCTCTCTGCCGTACGCTTGGATCGCGTCCGGGCCATCGACGCAATCTTACTTACCTTACGGTTCCCACAGACGGCGCCAACTGAAGAAGCGCAGAGCTTCCCCGATGAGAGCTGATCTGATCAGCTCGAGGTGTCGATGGGAGAGCTGATCCAAGACCTGCAAAACAGAGAAGATGAGCTAACAAAGGGGGTCCGAGGGTTGTCCCCGAGGGCGCTCCGACGGCCAAGTTAGTTTTCCGGTGAGTAAGGTTCACGGGAAGTAGCAACTGTCCAAAGTAAATTGTCAATAGTGAGCGTACCTTGTACAGGGGATGTGTGCTATTATTTATACTTGCGAGGGAGTCCGACCTCCGCAGGACGCGGGACTTGCCCGGTATAGATAGTACCCCGCACTCGGGGGGACTTCCTCCGACCTCTTCGGGCTGGACCTCCGCCTCCCCTGGGAGCCCTAGTTGGTACGGCCCAGGGCTGCTCCCAGGAGTCTGGGGGCCAAGGCCTAGCTCGGTTCCTCCCGGGCTGCCACGTGTCCTGGCCCACAACGGGGCCTCTGCAAAGAACAACAAGGCAACAACAGTAGAGCTGATACTTTCCTCTTTCTTTTTCTTTATTTTGTTAGAATGGAGCTAGTTTCTTAACAGTGTAGTAGTTAGGCGTAATTAAATCAATATTGATATATTTTCCATATTTAAGAACATTGTTATTTTTATGCATATGAGCAAAATTCAAAATCAATGCAAGTCGATGTTCTGCTATAAGAAACAGACCAAGGGGCTTCATCTTCTTCTCTCGACCTAAACCAACCACCATAATCAAATCTCACATTGCTGTTCTTTTTCCATTCTTCATCTAATTATCGGCCCTCCTCTTCTTTGGCGTGTCCTCCCCATCCCATCCCATCATCACAATACCCTCTTGTCTACTCCATATCTCAGAAACCCACTCAATGTGAAAAAGACACGTAAAATCAGAAAACAGACACAAATCATACTTTCGCTTCTTTCAAAGTTTCACAGCAAATAAGTTATGAAGTTCCACACCAATTAAGTACCATTAGGTGATCCTTCACTCAAGTTTGGTAATTAAGGAATGGGGAAGAGCACCTTGAAGACGAGAGTAACAGGAACACCAACTCCAAAGAGGAAAAACGGCATAACAAAGTCAGCAAGTGTCACTCCAAACCAAGGCGCGCGATTTATAGACGGGAAAGCTTTTCCAGCGTCGTCTACCAAAATCATCAGCTGCCAAAAACCCAAAAAAAAAAACAATATTTAACAACAAAATTATCAGCAATCCAAACCATACAAATGGGAAAAAAGTTTAAAAAAAAGACGAAGAAGAAGCTAAAGAGGGTGAGCAGGTGAGGGTGGAATGGCGGTGAAATTGCAGAGACGTACAGCTACAGTGAGACGGCGGAAAACGTCGAGAGACACAAGGCGTTGTTTTGGTGCGGTTGCCACGGGTGGTGTTGACCCGTCGTTACTGTCAGGCTCCTCCGCAGAGACTGAAGCGGTGATCTCTCCTCCTCCGCCTCCTCCTCCTCTAATCGCCGATGATTCTCTCCTCCTCGGAAAGTCATCTGAAGCACCCTGCAGTAGTGGCGTAGCTTCGCCGTCGTCGACTGCGACTGTTACCACTGCCGATGCCATACTGATGATAATACTATAATAGTAGTATTAGTTTCGCTTCTCCGGTTTGACTTTGACCTTCGCGCCAACTACAGCTGCTAAAGGAGCAATACAAAAAAGGTTACAGACCAGCGGAGTGCAACGAATAATTGGAAAATGAGGAGTGCCCATCGCCAAGTAATCCATAACGATTTTTTTAAAAAAAAAATCTTTGGTTTTCTTTAATTACAGTTTAAAGTTTAATTCGGTAAATTAAATATTAATAATCGAATTTCGACTGAATAACCCGTAATTCCATAATACTTAAAACTCTAGAAGCAAGTAAAAAAAATTGATTTAAAATAAATTAAGGCTCAAGAATGAATTTAATATCAGTATGTGATATTATTAAATAGTATATAATATCCTATCTAACATAAAATTCGATGATAATTCGGCTAGTAATTGGAAATTTAGAAATCAAATTTAATATTTATTCTCAAACTATTTTAAGATTTTTTTAAAAATTGGATATAAATCGGTTTTATCAATACCAAGATGTATATTGGATTGATCTGTCTCGTTTGACAAGTGAGTTGTTTGAGTGTTTGTCTAAAATTTTACTGTAATTTACTGTAAAAGTTTTTAAAAAATTTTTTGAAGTGTGTAAATTTTTGAATATTTTGAAATGTATAGTTTAAAAATTTTGAGAAAATTTTTGAGGTTATTGTATCTAAAATTTTTAAAAAACTTATAACAAACAAACTTAACAAAAAACTTGTCTGCCAAACAAGGCCTTTATTCTTGGTTTGAAAAATTATGGATTTTCCTCACCAGTAACCAACCACTTTACTTTATTTATCATTGGGTGAATTCAAACCCATGATGGTTTAAATCCATAACAAATTATGGATTTAAGAAAAGAAGGAAGGGGATGCATTAAATATTGTTCAAAAGATTAATAGCAAGGAACCTGATTTGTCATTGATGGGCAACTTATTCCAAGGCATCAGGACCATGCTGCATTCTTTTGATTCTGTTAAGGTTAGTCATGTGAGGAGGACCAATAATGTCCCCGCTCACATCATGTCTAAGTTAACGTTATCTTTTGAGGGAAGTAGGGTCTGGTTTGTAAATTTCCCCAAGCCGGTTACTGAGGCCGCTATTGCTGATTTGCAATGCAAGGATTTTCCCTTATCAAAAAAAAAAAAAGAAAAAAGAAAAGAACGAAGCACAGTAAGACGCGTGTCCTAGCCCCGGACATTAAATACCAGCTTTGAGGTGCCTGAGAAAGCATACAAGAGAACCCAACTTTTCCAGAACAGACAAATCTCTGATTCTGGGGGGTCTACAGGCAAGGCACGACATTTTCTTCATTTCTTGACGATGAAGTGTGAGACGCGGTTTCTTCCTCAGGTATAGTTTTCCAAGCTTTTGATGAATCATCGTTCTTTTTCTTCTTTCTTCTTTTTTTTTTCTGGGTTTTCCTTCAAGATCGGCTGAATATATACTTCTTCGTCTTTCAGTGAGGATGCTCACCTCGGTCACCCCGCAAGGCCGAGGTGAACCCATTTCTTCTCTCATCAGAGCGTAATCATGACCTGAGCACGACCCCTGAGCTCGACCGGGTCCCTAGTCTACCACGTAGGCAGTCTCTGCTCATCAAGTTTCCACCTCAGCTGCACGCTAATGATGTCAACACCTTTGACATCGTCCAGAGCCAGTGCTTTATCTGAAAAGTACCGGATGCTTTTAATGGCTACTACGTAAAGCTCCCCGTCACCCTGCCCAGGCGGCTACAGTGTCAGAGTCAGACCTCCTGACAGGGAACAGAGCCGTAATACCAGGATGTGGGTCCCACCAGCATGAGCCCCCGTCCTACCTTTTACTTCCACTCTATAAATACTCTCCAGGCACTCTTAACAAGTAAGCACACTGTTCATTCTCATATACTACTATTTTCCCGTTCTCATACTAACTTGATCGTCGGAGTGATCCCAGGGGAGAAGCCCCGCCATCCATTTCGGACAAACAAAGATACCTCACCTCATCTCAGAAAGGACTGATTTAGGTCGGTCTATCTACCCACCAAAAATCACCTCTTCATTCAGCTTGCCCCCGCCATTTTAGGGCTGGGAGCAGAAGTATCCGCCGTGTACTGGGAAAACCGGAAGATACCCGCATTGGTTGCCCTTCTAGTGGCTTTGGCTGGGTGGGCTTGGTCGATTTTTAGCTATCGCCTCTTGGGCCGAAGCGAAGGAGTTGAGTTTAAACGAAGGTGTAAGTGCATTCCTGTAGGGTATGCTGGGGATGGGTCTAAGTGGGGCGACGCTCTCGGGATACTTGGGATAGGCTTCTGGAGCGTTCATGTCTGCTTTGCTTTGGTTGATTTCATAACCAAGCAAACTGAACATGGGTTTGAAAAGTCAGTGTTATATCCACTAATGTTTGCTGCCGTAGAGTTCGGGCATGGATTGTTCTTGGTTTTTGGGTGGGGTAGAAAATACTACTTCCGGTGCCTCGCGAAGGGGGATGAGCGGATAGTTCCAGTTAACTTTCAAGGCTGCCGTTTGATATACTGTCCACACTATAAAACTGGGGCGTGTAATATGCGGCCTGATGGTGCTGCTGATCCAGAAGCACAGTGGATCTTGACGCCTCCGGTCCAACGTCATGTAATAGACCTTACTAATCTATTGTTTTCATGTGTTGTGCTATGTAATAAGCGCTCTTGGTCTTGATACAGGGACAGGCAGTTGCAGCAGGAGGTTGGAGGAGGGGAGGTTCAATTAGCTGGAACAGGAGCAGGGCGAGGCGAGGCTG